ATATTAAAGAATTAAAAAATCTATAATGGTAGTCACAGCCCAACACTAAGAAATAAAGGTACAAGGGATTTCAGAACCTTATGTTGTAAAGATCTGCAAGAAAGATGGACGATTATTATTTCTTCCTCCCTTCTCTTGTCTCCCTTCCATGAACTTTTTGGCCCTTATAGTTGTCTATAATGTTGTCAATGTGAGTTACCATGATGTATCGCCTTCTTAATTGGTCTGTTTTACTTGTTCCTGTCCAGTTCCATGACAAATTCAACACCCGACATAATATAGCAGAACTTATTGAATATCTCTGGCAGGTCCCTAGTTATCGTAATCCTTGGAGACAGGTAGGGTCTTTTTGTTGGCCAATATCCATTCCATTTATAGTTTAGGCATTTTAAAAAGAGTGAACAAATTTTTCCCTCTCTGTCTGCACTTCACCACTTTTTGGGCACACCATGTAAGCATAAGATGTGCTCTTGCAGATTGCCAAGGAAGAAGAAAAGTGTGTTTATCTGAATTTCTTGAACTTCCTGATCAATGATAGTATATAACTCCTCAATGAAAGCCTGAACAAAATTCTTGAACTCAAAGAAATTGAGGCAGAGATCTGAAACACAGCTGAATGAGAGCGTAGGCCAGCTCAGGAGAGGCAAAAGGGAACCAGACTATTCTGCTCCGAGGAGTCCGTAAGAGATATCACCTCACTCCTAAATTCTCTCAAAACCTGCTGAAGCACGGTCAGTTTCTTCATTTGTGGAGCCATCAGAATTTAGTTTCAGAAAACCAGGGCAAGGATGAGGGCACCAACTCATAGCACAAACTATTCTAGGTTCTGAACTCCTGTGCTGTATCCTTTGCCTGCCTTAAAACCTGAGCAGCAATACATTTGAATGATGGTTGAGAGATATATTATCAACTAAAATTTAGGAGACTGCTACTGAGCCTAACTTTCCATTTGAACGACAGCTGCCCCTATTGAACCACTAAGTTCCCAAAAACAAATGAAATGAATCACAACAATGAGCGGGAGAACTGAGAAAAAAAGTAGATCTCAATATAAAACATAAAGGAAAGAAAAACGCAAATGAGCTTCATTTATGATCTTCATATATTCCAGCAACTAAATCCAAGTTGAGTAATGGTATGAAGAAATTAATGGAAACAATGGAATTCTAAGAGGTCACCAGAAATCATTGCATGAACATTTCCCATCCTTAAAATGATGATATCTGGTAGCATCCCGGATGATAATTTCCCTCCTGACAATATCACTGATGAATTTTAGAACAGTATGACAGTCTCCACATACACGAAGGTTCTTCACTACACGGATTACTGTTCCTGGAACAGCCTTAAGTATCCCATAAGCCACAGCCAGCCTCTCACTATGCCAGAAAAGCTGTCTCTCCTTCTCTTGTTGATCCATGTCATGCAAAACTGAGCTGGTATCAGGAGCATAACCTTTTCTTCTCATCTCTGCCTCCAACTCTTTTAGTAAACTGAAAATTTCATCCTTTATTGGATGTGATGTCTCCCCTGCATAAAACATTTCACTTCCCTTTCCAAAGTCAACGTAACTATAACCAGGTTCCTTTCTGACTTCCATGGTTGCCATCAACTTCCTCACTTTAGCAACATTTTCCCACAAACCAGCACTGGCATAAGTATTAGATAAGAGTATATAGGTTGAAGGATCCTTGAGCTTTAAGCTTAATAAGTTATCAGCAATCTTACAAGCCATTTTGGTATTTCCATGGAGCTTACAAGCACTTAAGAGAGCTGCCCACATAGGTTCATCAGGTTTAAATGGCATTGACTCAATAAGGTTCTTGGCCTTATCAAGGTATCCAGATCGACCAAGGACATCTAACAAGCATGTATAGTGCTGCAAGGAGGGGTGGATTCCATAATCATTAATCATGGATTTGAAAATATCACTGCCTCTGTCAACTAGACCAACATGGCTACAAGCATAAATCAATCCAACAAAAGTCACTTCATTTGGTTTTATTCCAGTCAAAAGCATTTGGTCATACAAGGCCAATGCTTCCTCAGCCTGCCCATGCTGAGCTGCCCCAACTATTATTGAAGTCCAAGAAACTACATCTTTTCTTGACATTCTTCCAAAAATCTCCTTGGCTGCCAAAATATCACTACATTTTGCATACATATCTATCAGTGCATTACTTATAAACAAGCAAGATTCAAAACCAAGAGCTATAACTAGGCCATGAACCTGCTTTCCAAGTGCCAGTGAGGCTAAATTGGCCGAGGCACCTACAATGCTTGAAAGAACTAATGGATCTATTATATCAACTCCTTCCCTTCTCATTTCAATAAATAAAGAAAATGCATCAATCCCATTTCCACTCTGTCCCAACCCAGATATTAAAGCGGTCCAAGAAAACAAATTCTTTTTTGGCAACCTTGAAAACTGTTCCATAGCTTCCTTTGTTCTCCCACTTCTAGCATACCCAGATATCATAGCTGTCCCAGAAACAGAATTTTTTTCTCTAATTGACTCAAAAACTGCCCAAGCAATATCAGGTAGTCCGCATTTTGCATACATATCAACCAGAGATGACTTGGCAACATCATCATCGGAAAATGGCGACACCACAAAGCCGCCATGAACTTGCTTGCCTTGCCGAATCGCACCCAAGTTGGCACAAGCCTTGATGAGGCTAGCATAGACGAAATGATCAGGTTGCAACCCATCGAG